ACTTCCTCTTCCAAACAGTCTACTTTGTTGACTTCTCGGCCAAGACTTTGCTCTAACTCGAATACTGCCAACTTGTCCTTCAACGCTTTTAAGGCAGTCTCTTCTTTTACTTTGTCATTGCATTCCTTATTGAAAACCATCAATCTGGCTTTGAAGGCCTGAATATCGGCCATTTGCTTTTGCAATTCAGAATCCATTCAAGATTCCCTGATTATTCTTTTGCCAATCACTGGCTCTCCTAAGGCCACTATATTTGGCCTCATCTGCTTGAACATCTCAGTGAGTGCGTCCACTGAGAATGGTTCTTCGCTTTGTGCGACTACTTGAGTTTCTTCCCCGTCTTGTACCACTCTGACAGGTCCATAGTTTCCCTCATACATAAACTTTTTCACTGAGTTTGCTTCTGCGACGAAAGGCCTATGATCGGCCTGCACCACTTCTGCTTCACCTTTGTCATTCCAAAAAATTAAACATTGATGGAGCGACGAGGGTATACATCGACTTCCGTGTATCCAATCCCTTCCTAAGAACACGTTGTAACTAGTAGGACCATCTATTACAAAGAAGACAGTGGTCCTAGTAGTCGTACCTATAGTTATGTCTAATGGCATAACCCCCTTAGCTGAAGTTGCTCCTCCATTGAAGCTGGTGAGGATGACTTCTGTAGGAATCATATCACCCTCTGTTTTTGATAGCTTTCTCATCATTCTGGATGGAATGGTGTTTATAGCTGCTCCATTATCGACAAGCACTTTTGCCACTGGGACGCCGTTAACTAGAGCTTTAACGTATAATGGCCTCAGGTGTTTTGTCAACTTCATGGCTGGCCGTTTAAAAACAACCTTTTCAGCAGCCTCTATTTCTACCTCTTGCTTGTTTTCTGTCGAATTATCCCCCTGTGATAAGTCGACGTGCAGTATATCACGCTGATCCTCTGTCTCCTGAACTTCCTTCTTACTTTTTTCTAATGCTTCCTCGTCGGTTATCCAACCTGTGGGAGGAGGCATTATTTTTGCTTCCTCATCAGTCATCCAACCTGTGGGAGAAGGCATTATTTTTGGAGGTGACCCATATTTCTCAGAGCGAGGCACTCTCTTCTTCCTTTTGGGTGTCCCGTGCAGTACGTAGAAATCGAAAGGACGCCCAGATGGCTCCCCCAATAAGTCTACTTCGCGGACTCCCTCTTGATGTAGTTGCTTAAACAGGGTATTGCGTGATACTCCTCTCTTTCTCCTTTCTGCTTCTAGATCAATTTCCTCTTCAATGTCTGTCATCCCATCGTCCTCTTCATCGTTGTAGGCCTCTCCAGAAGTCTGGCCTTCTTCACACACCAGCACGCAGGCTTCTCCTTCGTTGTCCTCCCTCTCTTCTTCTTTTTCCTTATTTTTGAACTCATTGGCCAGTAAGTAATTGTTGGCCACAACAGGAGGCAACGTACCGAATTGGATAGCAAGGGGCTGATCTAGGTCTTCCTCATCCTTTTTGTCCCTCTCAAACCTTGATCTCCCAGAAGAGGTCTCTGGCTGTTCTTTCATTGATTCATCTGCACCAGTTTCTTTATTACTCTTCAGGACGTTTTGATTGGCTACCTTGAGTAGTAGAGGTGCTTTAGGGTGTGGCATTCCTTGTTGCTGCCTCATCATCCGTCCGTAGTTTCGCTAGAAACGCCTTTGTTGAGTCCTGGTCATCTCATCAAAAGGTATTGCTCTTCCTGCGCTGTACTGGAATGAATGCCATACATTTGGCCGGTGAAGTTGCAGCCTAAATGTTCTTCTAACATCTGTTGGTCTGAACTGCCTTTCAAAAGGCGGTCCTCTATAGAACGATGTACCTCGCCCTCTACCAGGTTGAATGTTTGGGAAGAAGGCAGGACGATAGGGATGCTGCCATGTCCCTGGTTTCTCCGTGTCTCCATTTATTTCTCTTTTACATCTTGCACATAGGACGTTTTCGTCCTTTTTTGGTTCTTTTCCTTTGATTCGTTCGAAGACGCTGGAATGTGGTCTTGGATCTTCTTCTCCGTCATCTATGACTAACTTGAATTTTGGTAACTTGTTCTTGAATCCAAATGTTACCATGTTTACTCCGAGTGGCTGTGGGAAAGGATTCTCGTCCACTGCCATCTTTTTCTTGTCATCGAACGTAATTCGTCCTGACTCAATAGCATCCTGTAATACATGACGGAAAACCAAGCAATTGTTAGTCAGGTGTGACCATGCATTATGCCATTTACAATATTTTTTACCCTTAATTTGTTCAGGGTTTGGCAATTTGTGCTTATCGCTCAATCTTATCTGCTTATCCCTATATAATTTGTCGAATATAAGGTCAGCTTTGGTCACATCGAACGAGAACGTTCTAGTCTTTATGTTCCCGTCTTTTATGGGCTCATCATCTTTGCCCGACGGTCTAGGTTTGGTCATTATGGGACAAGTATATGTCTCTCCTTTGACCAATTCGGCCAAACATATTTCGGCCTGATCGTACGACTCGTCGTCAATGGTATGAACATTAAAATTTGGATCTTTGTAATAAGTCCCTTTACTAGAATTTTTCATTTGTTCTTCCTCTCTTATCAGTCGTTCATACCTAATCACGTTCGCACTCAACTGGAAAAGATCAGGGAACTCTTTGTCCTGGAACTTCTTTTTTAAATCAAAGCTCAAGCAGCCTTGAGCGATTTTGACAAATT